ATTTATTTACTATTTGAGTTTTTGTAAACATAACCCCCAAGACGGATCGTGTTAGTATGGTTGTATCTTAAAGTTGTGTATTTATCGTTGTTTTGTGTCGCTATGAAGGATCGTGTTAGTATGATTGTAACTTAAATTTGTGCATTTATCGTTGTTTTGTGTAGCTATAATTTGTTTATTTGTTGTTTTTTTTTTCTTTTAAATGCCTCCGACGTGACGACAACGAAACATAGACAGGAGGCGTAATCGTGATAACAACCGCAGCTACAGAACAGTGGCGCGTAATAGGCTTAACTCATCACAGTCAGCACCTGACCCTGGACAATCTCAACTATTAGGTTACAAATGCGCCCTAACACTACCCCAAAACGACTTTTCGTTCTCAATTGGCCCCTCTATCAATGACCTGTGTTGGCGAGGCATTTTGAGAAGGAGAAAACCGGCAGGAATGCTTTAGGTTTATCAATAACGAAGACAAAATTGGTCTGAGCTACACACCGGTAATCTTGAGTTGACTCTTTTAAATTAATGGTAAGTATGACTGTTATTTGTTTTAAAATAACTCCTGTAATACTTTGCAATTGCTCGAATTCGAGCAACATGTACACTAGTTATTAACTATTTCATGAACAAACTTGGAAAATATTATAATTGTTTAGTGCTATGTTGGTGTTCACCAACAAAGTGTCTTGATATGATTTTATTTTCCGGGTTCTGTTCTCAAATGCGGCTGTAATCTGACGTGAATACAGTCGTCAGTTTCCTAATAGGTGACTTTCAAATGAACGAATATTCATCAGTGTCCATACAAGTTTCCATGGGCACTAAACATAATTCAGTTGGGAACGTGATACAATATGTGTATTGTGTATGTGTTTAAGAAGCTGTGTCAGATGTGTTGGGGTGGTTTGAGGACGATCCACGGACAGTCGGACAAGAACAAGGACAGTTTCTCGTGACTTAGGTATTTCTCAGCTATTGAGAAAGGGAAAATCGCATCCCTACCATTTTACACGAGTACAGATTATTGAACCAAGAGATTGTCTACAGAGACTTCAGTTATGTCGCTCTGTTAGTTGACTTGATCATCGTGACTTCCTCAAGTCGATTTTTTGGACCGACGAATCCAAGTTTACTCGGGATTGTATTTACAACATCCATAATGGACATCACTATGCTACAGAAAACCCACATGTGATACACCAGTGTCGAAACCAAACAAGATTTAAGTTGAATAGATTACTCTAAAACCAGTTAGTTGGCCCTTTCATTGATCTTCCATATTCATTAAACTGCTGTCAGTATCTCAACGTCCTTACTAATACTCTACCAAGGCTCATTGAAGACGTCCCGGTGGATGTACGTAAGCGAATAGTTTAGCAAGCATATGGTGCACCTCCCCACTTCAATAATGGGGTGCGAATTTACATTGGAAATACTTTCCCAATGTGGATTGGAAGAGGCGGATCAATTGCTTAGCCACCACAGTCACCAGACTCCAATGGACTACTACGCTTGAGTTTACCTCAAACAGGAAAATTACCGAACACTAGTTCAAACAGCGGATAAGCTAAGAAATCGGACTTAAGCTTCCAACCTTCTTCAAGAGGAGCTAAAATTAAAGGCAACAGTAAAAAACTTTCGGAAAAGACCATATTTATGACCACATGTATTAGAGCAAAAATGGTGGACATTTTGAAAACTTACTTTGATTAAAAATCTAGAAACCAGACTTTACAGGATTCATTTTGTTTATTTGTACAAATGTATTAACCTAGATTTTTATCAAAATTTATTTTGAATTTTTGTTGTAGAATTATAAAATAATGAAATAGTTAATAATTTAAATGTTTACAAGCCAACAATTGCAATCAGCTGGTTTTGTAAACAAAGTTCAACACCCAGCTGATCAGATGTCAGCTGATTATAAGATAGCAAAGAAATTAACAGATACTGTATTACATTTGGTTCAATGTTTTGATTCCGAAAACTCTGACCTTGACGCGGTTTTGACCTAATTTTTCGAACTTTTAATACAGCCATAACCTTATAGGTTACATCATTTTAAAGGGCATGAAATGGGAAAGTTTTTTACGCAATTTGACAAAACATCACATTAGTATGTATAGTTGTAAAGCCACTTTGATGTTGTAAAGAATTAATTTTGAAACTTCTTTTTTTATGTTATGTGAGACGTACAATGGTGAAAATATGGTTGTATGTTAAAGGTGTTGCAATGCTTTTGTAGGAAAGTTTACGCTCTTTTCATTGGTATAAATTATTATGCTGTACGTGTATTTGTTTAATTTCTATGCTCGTTTTAGTGAAGCTACTACAGGTAATTTTAAAAATTCACATAATCGGTCATTACAGCATAACGAGTGGGGATGGAAAATTTTTGATTCTCATTTTTTGTTCCTTTTAGTGAGTAGAACAACTGGTAAAAATTAACGCACTTAGTAGAACTCACCCTGTATATTGTAAGTTGATTTATTTATACTGTTGAAAGAATTTGTTGAATTTTTGTATTCAGCAAATCGACCCCTAAATATTTATTTTGATAGGTATTGGGTATCAATTTAAAGCTCTTACTCTAGATGTGCCTTTTGCGGGGTTGGGTGATATCCCGTGAAAGCCCTTCGTCCTATAGTTTTTCTTTTAAATTTCAGAGTTTAGCTGAATTCTGTTGTCAATCATCTGAACTTTTACATTTGTTTACATCAAATCCAATTACACCATGACCCATGACCATGACACCATGGTATTAACCATGATACAATTTTGTTTACACCCATATGAAAATGGAATTATCGTTAAAGTTTGTTGGTGATGTTTTAGTGAATTCGAGTAACATTGTAATGTTATTTGTATAAAATGTAAAGAAGAAAATGACTTACGTTATATTTTGTATTTTTATAGGATTTGCAAAACAAATTGTAAATTAATTCAATTATACAACGGATCTTGGAGTCACGAAGTGACAATGGCTGCTAGTAGAAAAAAACTTTAAATTATGCAATTGAATGATTATTTTCTCTTGTTGAAATCGCACAAAAAAGTCGAGCATTCTACAAGTAATTTCATACAACAAGCTAATGAACAATTGTTGAAAAGGTTTTTCTTTTATTCTACCGCAGATATGTAGTTTACTCTCTACTACTTATACTTATATACTTATAAGTATATACTTATACTGTATACTCAACTAAAGTATACTATTGGTATGAAGGCACCATAACCTCTGATGGTGTCATATTACAAAACTCCTATTATCTGGGCTTTCCACACCACTGAGAATCCAGTTATATAGAATATAATGAGTAACGTGCAATTTCATTTAACTATCATACAATTTTCTCTGGACCTCTTGTTAAAATCTGTCCCATACTTATTGTAGTACTAGAGGACCCATGCTGCTCCGCATTGTTGAAATAAATATCATATCCGAGAATCAGATTTTTGATTTTGGGTTCAGTAATACAGTATCTTGAACTTAACTGATTCAAACTATTACTGATTATTTTGAGTCTAAAACATATCACTTTTTTATCATAGAAAAACGTTAAAAAATTATGTTGGTTGTTAACCTTGCGATTGATTGCAACTCGTCCGAAATGAATAACTAATAGCTTAAATGAAAGCAGGAATTTCACTGAAGGTACTTAGACCAAAATATATAGGATTGCATAATTATAACTGGTGAAATAAATCTTAAATTGAAGAAAGAATTTGAAAATAAATCAAATTTATGTTTTTTGGTCGAGTAATACAGTATATAAATATATGCCGATACTTGATGTGAAATCTGTGCGTACATACCTTCAATTTAGGACCTCAATCATGAAAATCGGTCGAGTAGAAGAGCCAAACGAACTCGGAAAAGAAAAACCAAATTTTTAAATATATAAGATAATGGATGCGATTTTTGTAAAAACATATACATATGTACGTATTGTTATGCTGGAGTTAAAATAACGTTGAGAAGTCGATGTTAACAGAATATCTGTCAAATCTTTGTATGAACTATTTCTAAAACTCATCATGAAAGCACTTTTTTCAGCAGAGCAAATAAGATAAGACAGAACTAGGCTACAGCAATGTTGTAATGGCACAACGAATGAAACCCTAATTATCTTTTTACTTTGGTCCCCTTTTAGTTTAATCCTATTACTTATACTTGTATCATCAACTGTAATTGTATCTTTTTGTCAGTACCTTTTATAGGTTCTCTGTCTTTGCGTTTAAGTAGATCAAGTTTCATTTGAACAAGATAGTGTTATTCTTTGAGACATGCACTTTAAAATAACGTTTATGTGAATCCGTCTAATTTTCTATCCCAATGTCTGCTAGATATATAGAAATATTTAACAATTTAAAATGTGCAGTGAAATTACAAACAAAATGTTTATACCTTGATGATACATCTCTATTTTGTTGTTGTTTGAACAAAGCCGCATTTACTCGAGGAAAGTGTGAATAACTAACACTTGAATACTCTAAAGGTTACCTGCCTTTAGTTACTGTTTTCTGCGGCAGATAACCTGCCAACTTACTGGCCTCGTGTAAGGCGGCTTTTTGGTTAACAAATTCTCCAAAATAGCCTTAATTTCCGATTTAAGTAAACACGGCAACGGTATTTTCACATGGTTCAAAAATGCTTGCAAAGGAAATACAATCAAAATCCAGAAAATTCAAGTGGAAGCTATGGAAGTTGAACCTACCCCTTTCGAGCCGATATCGGGGACGGTGACCACTAGCTAGAACCATAGACAAAATATAATTAAATATAGATGGACCGACAGCAGTGCTGCGGTTAGCATAAGTTCTGGTGGCACCTCTGGGAGCGTCTTAACTACACGACACTCTCAGCGGTGGACACCAGAACTTATGCTAACCGTAGCACTGCTGTCGGTCTCTATTTAATTTTATTTGTCTGTGCTAGAACACACTTATCACATTGCGCCAAGTAGAACTATTTTTTAAGGTACAAACCGACTTACCTTCACATTCTTGGCGAGGGGTTTAGGCTTCTCGGTGGCCAGGCAGGTGGAGGGGCGGTGCATGTTGAGGGGGCGCCCTGCTGTGTCTCCCGGCACCCCTAGACAGGCGCCCCCGCGCCCTCCTTCTACGTCCACGTCCATAGAGCCGTCTAGCGCCCCCTCCACCTCCTCGGCTTCATCTTCACCCGCACTTTCTGCAACAAGAGTGACCAAGTTAGCGAACCGTCGAACTACATAGACTAGACATAGACATATTTTATTCATGAATAAAGTACACATGATACCATGCACATCTCAATCGTCAAATACATTACCTATATGGAGTATTCTAGTAAGCTTTTAAAACAAAACAAAAAATAATTAGTTAAGCCTATTCTATTCTAAACAAGATCTAAACAAATAAATAATAATGGCATGTTTAATGAGATCAGGCAGGCAGGAATTCTTGGATAGTATAAAACTCGCCTTCAACTCAAAACCTTTTGAACCCAACCTTGAACTGTACTGCTTTACTTCTTCAGAAAGCTTATTATAGGTGAAGGGTCCCAAAAAATTGTCATTCCTTTCAGAGAGGGTCAGACGATGACATGGAGTACGAAGATCTCCTCCATGCCTAGATTGACCAACCGATGGAATATTCTTCAGCTGATTTACTGTAGACATTATTACTCTGTAGATGAATATAGAAGGTAATGTTAAAATGTTGTGCTCCCGGAAGACCCCTCTGCATGAATGGAGTGGTGGTAAGCCATTGAAAATACGCACGGCCCATTTTGTGATGGAAAAGACCTTAGAGACATGAAAATAATCACCCAGACTTCAATACCCATAATATAATAAACCTGTTTGGTAGAGGATGGATATTCTTGGTTTTAAGTTAAATTTTCGTAATGGCAAGTTGACTGGAATCATAGCTTTGTCCTGTAATCCAGCTACTTGGAGGTCACGAATTTTGGATACTTTGCATGATCTGTGGATGCGATACTCCCAGGTATAATATTAACATCCGCACTAGTAAGTACTACGACAACCCGCAGTACTATCCTGAAAAATAGAATAATCCGTAATATATAAGGCAAAAATGAGGTTCGGATTCCACTATAAAAACTGTAGGTCCCTTAGTTGTCATTGGCTGTATGGCCTATTAATTAACAGCTGTGTCTAAAGAACAGCCTTTGTAAGTAACAAGACTACAAGATCGGGCCACTCATCCTACACTCATCTTCATTCATACTTGGTTTAAAATACCTCCCTTCGTATGGTCGCCATAAAAAAGTACAAGTATTAAAGTATTATGTTTTTTAGTGATTATTGTGGAAATTTTAAATCACGATTATTAAAATACAATTTTTACGAATCTCTGATTTTATCCCTCATTTTTTGAGAATGTACATCAAAATGTCAACGACAAAAACCAGCCAAAACTTGACATTCAAAAAAACTACACTGAGAATTTACATAAATCAAAACGAAAAACAAATATTCCTAAAATAATTCAACAATTAAACAATGAATAGTACAAATAGAAGATATGAGAACACATACACGTTTTCACATGTCTGAGTTACCTCAATAAATCATAAGTTGGAATAAAGTTTGATAGAAAGTCTTCAGTTAACAGTATGCTGAAAGACATTTAGCTAAATAATAATTATAGACGAACACATACAATTTTTACAATAAAATGAAACACGTCGATTTAGACAATAATCGAACAATATCCAGCTGTTTGGTTTGCCAAATGAATGAATAAACTGCACCAAACCACCCGCATAGTGAATGCACCCTCAACACTCTAGATTCTCAAAGGCTGTTGCATTTATGGATGAACGAATTGTTATCACCACAAAATGTTTAACGATGAATTCCCACTGCTGGGGTATTTCTGATGTAGCCTATAACAAGTGGTAATTTCTAAGATAGAAAATATTAAAGTAGTTAGTAAATGTAACTTTGAAACGTTAATTTTTGAAAGGATAATTTATAATATCCATAGGTAAAAGTGTTGAGAAAATTACTGCTTTGTCTTTCTTTTTCCAATAAAAAAAAAATTTAATACAAACTATTTAAATAATAATTAATAACTATTATCGATAGACTTAACCAAAGTTTTACGCTTTTTAATGCTGTGAAAATCTTTCTGATTATTACATGTAAAGGCTTTATTCTAACTGTAGACTTAGCTTACGGAATGAACTGCATTTGGCAGCACAAAATATTCTTTAAGTCTTCCTTAGTTAGTTTATTACAGATTTACATGGCAGGAGGAGCCTGTTGTCTAACTTAATACGAATTGCGTGTTCTCAAACTGCGTAAAAATGCAAAGATTCTTGAATTATCTCTATGGCTATTTGGTCAAAGCAAACACAGTATGGACATTAGTGGTAAAACTGTGTATCTATGTTGATAAATATGGGGTAGTGCAACTTTTCGTCTGCACTCTACTCCGTTTGTCAAGCACGATTCAAGTGAGTTGTAATGAAAAAACCTACTTTATACAGGTCATTAGTGTTTCAGAAACTTATACGGTTGCTAATAGTCTCAGATTACTCAAATCGAATAATAATCAAATAAAAATATAGATGCGTCCAACAAGGAACTAAATCGTCCAACGTTTTATACACATTTAAGGTCAACTCCTTGAAGATATCTATGATGTATACTTTTATATCACCATAAAGTCAACCAACTGAACCAAAGGGGGGGACTTCGGCGATGACATGGTTGGGTTTAACGTTAAATGAATTCTGATCATCCTTCGACTCATAAAATCTTCGCAGGAACCGTTACCGTTACCAACAATGAAACAGCTGATTGCTGGGATAGCTTAATGGGTGACTAAAAGTTAATTTATCATACAACAATTCTATTCACAAAAAAAAACTTAACTATTAATCTTAATTTTATTTTGTTTGTGCTGTTCCGGATCGGTGTGACAATCAATAAAAGGTGTCCGCCGGTTGATCATGATGTGTCCAATTACAGGAAATGCATTTTGGCGACATTAAATCGTCATCATCAGTCCTAATATAAGGTCTTGAATCACAAGACGAGATACATTGTCATTTCGAAATTCAAAACCTCTTGTTTACTTACCATCTTAGTTGGCTAAGAAATAAAATATTCAAATTGGACACATCTTGTAATAGGAATAACCAAATGAGAGATCTTTTTTAATCAAACAAAATCTCCGCTTAAACGATCTGTTTGTAAATCTCTGGTTTCAGATAAAACAGACGCGAACAATGAACATGATCTGCGGATGATTCTCATGTCTCAGAAAGGTCTGGGAATCTGTTACGTGATTTGAATTGGACTGTGGGCAAAACATGTTTAGTTTGAGGACAGTGCACTGTTTACAGTGTTTTTGCATATTTAAAACTCTCTCTCATAGTGTTTAAATAGTGCTATTTCATTAATCATTCTGAAGGCTGTAATTCCTAAATAATTTTATTTTTACGTTTAAGGTCGAGTGAGGTATGGTTTGCGATGGTTTTAGTTATTTTTAAACGATTGGGACTAGTTATACAGGGTGTCCAAACAAATATTATTACTTTCTTTTAGTATCTTTTAGTAAAATACTGCAACTTTTGGTACCAGGTAAACTTACAAATGTTTTAGTTTTTAAGATATTAAGATTTGAAAACATTAAATAGCACCTTTTTGAAATGGTTACCTATACATTTTTGTTCATACTTTACACAAAGGTAGCGGGCAAAACTATAAACATATTTGCTTAATTTCGACGCTATAGCTCAAACCGATAACGAGTTATGAATGCTTGTACATACAGACAGACGCTAAACGGTTTTGAGATAGGACTCGTGTGGTATTACAATTTTTGTTCGTTTTGACCTCCCGAATAATCTGGTAAAGTTTGTCCTAGTAAGCTGGACACCCTGTAAATACCTAAAGAAAAATATTCAATTTGGGTCCTTAATGTCCTCTATGTAAAACAGATGTCAAAAGATTAGAGGTGAGCCTTTTTAGGTACACATTGACTGGTGACAACAGAAACACAAATAATGTTTCTATTTGCTCTACTTCAAGTAGTTTACTTTTCGACCAAGTTAATATTTATACTGCTCCACAACTGATTGAATAGACAACTGGTATTGTATTTTAAACATTTTAGAGGTTGTATTAAAGTTTACACAAATCGTTGCGAAACATTTACCATTGTTTCAAAAACTATTGTTTACACAAAAAGCATATTCGGTGTACAGCTTAACAAAAGGTTCGTTAATTCCCTTGTCAATAATGATAATTAGTCATTAGAACAACGTTGTCCAATGTGAACGTAAACGACCCGTGGTGAATAAATAAATTGAATTCTATATTATGGGTATTAAACAGTTACACGCCATATTAGAGGTTATGTATCCTTGATAATTTTGTGTTTACATAAGTAGTAGGATAGGTAACTACTGTGTTATTATTATCATCTTATATATATAAAAAAAATGTTTTTCTTTTCTGAATTCGTTTGGCTCTTCTACCCAACCGATTTCCATGATTGAGGTCCCAAATTGTAGGTATGCACACACAGATTTTACATCAAGCATTGGCATATAATTATCTACTGTATTACTTGTACAAAAACATATATTTGGATTTATTTTCGAAATCTTACTTCAATTTAAGATTCACCAAGTTATAATTATACTGTGTAACCTTATATATTTTGGCCTAAAAACCTTCAGTGAAATACAGGCTTTCTTAAGCTGTTAGTTATTCAAATCGGACGAGTTTCAAGCAAACGCAAGGTAAACAACCAACATAAATATTATTTTTCATAAGGTTTTTCTATGATTAAAAGTCAATATCTGCAGTATTTTTATGTTTTTTTAATATGTTTTAGACTCAAAATAATAAATAAATTTTAAGCATTAATTTGAGCTATTGATCGTTTGAATCAGTTAAGTTCAAGATACTGTATTACTCAATAAAAAATCATAAATTTGATTATTTCTCGGATATGATATTTATTTTGATGCTGCGGAGCAGCATGTGTCCTCTAGTTATTAATATTATTACATATTATTATGAAACCAAAGCACCTGCCCACCAGTTTTTTCACCACACAAATACTACTAAAATGATAAAGTTGAAATTTACTAAACTGCAACCTGTATGTAGCTATGAATATCATAGGCTTATTGCCATTATAGTAGGCATATTCTTACTTATAACT